TAATTAGTAAGAAGTTACTGATATTTTCGTTTCCATCAATGCTTCGGCAGGAGAGAACAAAAAATCCAAAAGTGCCAAGACTCCATAGTGCCGTCTTAAAAATAAACAGTGTAAATCAGTACATTAAGATCTGTACTATAATAACCAGATTTGATTTTAGTAAATGAAAACGAAGCATCTGTCGAATAAAACTTTTGTTCAACTAAGAACTGACGCTACAGGCAAGTCTTATATAAGATGTGGCACATCAAGTGATGAATATAAAAAGATTTATGTTACTGAAAACGTATGCGTATGCGTCGATAGAAAGTCGTATTCATATTTTTAGTTATGTTTATGTATTTATTGCTATACAATTTCAAAGCAGATGTTACTTACAAAAGGTAATAGCTTCGCGTTTAAATACCTTTTTGGACTCCTTCCCTTATTAATTCATAGTTTACAATTGTAAACCTTCGTGTAAGATTGTTTAAGATCTCACGTAGTCTTCTTGAAGGTACGTGTATGCAGAGACTAAACGGATATAGTCATCTCATAATGGTAATTGATTTCGACAGTAAGCCGTATCAGATACATTTACGCTAGACACCGTGGTAACAACCGCTGCGTTAAAGAAAGTTATAGTTTGCGTTCCGACGTCGCACCTCTGCTGCGAAGCGCCTCATGCACGGTAGCCGACCCTCGGTTGTCTCTTTTCACCATTATGTAATCAACAGTCTTTTGCATCACCTTTAGCCAAGAGATGACACAGCCGTCGTACTGTGAACTGCAGTCGGCTCGGCGCGAAGCACCGTACTGTGCGGCCAATGCAAATGGCCGACGAATTCGCGAGCCAAAGATATTCCGATCAAATGGGCTGAAATTGATGGACACGAAATCGTTCAACAACATAAACAAGTGAACACAATGCGGATATGCCGAGATCAATCGCCACCGCCCCTCATTATGAAACAGGTATAAGTGCTGGAGGAATTTTTCGAAAAGATAACTAAAATTTTGTTGCACAGCTTAGAGCTAAAACGCTTCGAGGTTGAGCATAATGTTCTATTGGCAAAAAATTTCCTTGGCCCCTCTCTAACCCCGATCGCAATCGTCTATACTGATGGCATACTTTTTAAGGCTCAGTTTAGTAATAATACGCTTCATATATATAATCGGTTCAGCTGGCTTCGAACACTTACGGAAAGATCAACTGCATTGCTAAACCGATTACGCCAAACTTCATGCGGTCGTGGTGAGCCTCGCATATCGACCTTTTTAAACACTCCTGGTAATCGAGGCGGGACGAGACGCTTCTAAACGGCGCACCATTGCTTCCACCCTTAGGGCCAATCAAAGCTGTTACCCAAATTGGAAGAAAAAAGTATATAATTAGTGAAATACCGCATATTCACAATACGCAAATGTATTAATTTAATGTTCAACTCATGCATCGAAGAAGGCAATGGGAAATAGAGGTGATTAAAATTAGGGGATATCAATAGCATTGCGTAGGGTATGCTTGACTGATATATTCACTAGGTAGTTTACCGCTATTGGGTTAGGTAAGTTAATCACTTATTTCTTTCTAAAAACATCTGGCTATCAGACAAATGTCTATTATCATGTTACAACGATCGTTAATCAGAAGACATTTAAGAATATATAAGTTAAACTCACAGGCGATCAGAGACCGGATTTCGGAGGGGCGTCTAATCCCGTTCATGTGCTGCATATGTCTGTGTTTCGATACAAAATTGGTGGGCACGCTGTTTTCCTGCAACTTCAAAGCTGTTGCTGCCATCCAAAAGCAACCTGTAGCTAACGTTACCAGAATTTGCTGCATCTCTGCCACAAAGGAAGTTCCTAGAATGAATAGATAAACGTCGAAAAACGTGAGATAAGTGGATCTAGTATTACAAATCGTTATAAAGGAGAATGGGAAGGAACACAGATTATGGATTGATACAAACTACAAAGAAGCCAGTAAGTATTTATTCATACCAATCCGAAGGAATAGATGCTTTAACCGGTCGCTAGGTCTAAACAATTCTATGAACCGCCCTGTAAAGCCGTCATATGCATAATATAATAGCATATCAAGTTGATTACGTATAGTTATTATAAATGTATTTCAGATATTTGAGTGTTGGTAACTTAATTGATTTAACATAAGCATCAATTATCAAAAATCGAGTTCCTAAAATCGATACTTTATCTTGGATTACAATTTATTCGGTAAAAGTGTATTTGAGATTTCTAAAGGTTTATTTTCTCGCAAGTTATTGATAGACTTTACCCATATGGAACAGTGCTAAAGACGAAGTTGATATTCTAATTGACAGTAGGAAAAATATTTCGCGTATAATACAATAAGCAGCCTGAAATAATCCAAAAAGCTAAACAAGTCAACAGAAATGACTGCGATTGAGAGTATTAAATTGTAAAACCATAGCGAAGCGTTGTTTCTATACTGTTAAATTTCTCTGCGTTAAGATAATTTTAACTTCAGTGAAATCCATAGCCTATCTATATTATTACTACTAACAACATTGGTTTATTATGCATATGCCAATTCATGAATTATAGGAGTTTCATAAGCTCCCACATTTAACGAGTTCTATTTATCGTAGTATTGACACACATTACATAAAATTACCGAATATTGACGATAGCAGTTTGCCATCATGTTAACGCCTTTTATTATTTACCTGCATCATATCGACCTTCAGTCCACTACAGTTAAATGAATCATTGGCAAGTAAATCTTGCAGACTTATTCTAAAAATAAGACTTATACACTTTGCTCTATTCTCCGTACACTGTTGTTCCTATTAGGTAATTTTGAGACTAGAAATGTATTCATGTCGTCTCCTCTACATGTCTTGCATACCTGCATGCTATTATGAGCCACCTATATACAAGAAATTATCTTTTGGCTAGGATTGTTAATTACAATGCTCTGCGCGTACGCCAATCATGTAGTTTTTTGTTTGATAATAAAATATTGACTATGTCATGCTAATATAATGATAGTGTAACGCTTCGTTTTTTTGAACCATAAAATGCATAGTATACAGTTATGGGAGAAGCTTTAAATAAAGAGAAAATCCTAATGTTTCGACCACACAACAACTACTTATATCCTAATACAAGTTACCATTTTGATAATAGGTAGAAGTAACTAAATACCTTCACATAAAAATACATTTTCTAAGCAGGATTGTAATAAACAAACGATTCAATAACAAATTCAACCGAGTTTGTACGGCTTTAATGAATGCGTGCGCTTTTATTTATTTCACAAACGCATTTCTTTCACCGTATTGTTTCATTAACATTTTAAGTTCTGCCTTTAAAGAGCAATAAAAACCAATCCGTATTTTCAAATTTGTTACACATATTTTTCGAAAATCTTAGACCGTGTTACCAATACGGCAATGTTGTCGTCATGTAACGAAATTCCCAAAACACTCATTTACCTGCGTATATATAGCAATTATTTTACACGGGCTACTTGTTTAAATATCCTAAAAAACGTTTTCACGGCCGGTAAACAAACTTTCACACATAAGGGCATATTAAGGACTAATTGTTTTCCTATATTACGTTGTTACTATGAAGGTTTTGCTTAATAATATCGTCGTATATATATATATATATATATATTTTGCTCAATGATTTTCCTTTCGTAAATGTGAACCAAGGCTTCCATATACCAGCATGGCTCCTCGTGCGGTCATCCTGATTACAGTAATCTAGATACTGTTTCTCACTCCGCAACGAAGAGGCGCTCACACATCTATAACAGCAACATTCGCTTACTTAACGTCTTTCATCAACAACCAATCATAATGTTCCGGTCGACGTTAATTCAAAACTATCACACATTCTCACTAATTTCTTCGTAGCCATTTTTATCGATTAGTCGAACAACCCAACAACATCGTTTACGACAGTTTTCAACTAGTGTAGTAACCATCATCAGCATCGTCGTTCTGGGAACCGTTACACCGCTGATTTCAACTGACATTGACCTTGGCATATATGCATGTGTAATCCGCGGACTTTTAGGCAAGACTTTTAGGTAAGATTTTTAGGCCAGATGATACAGAGCATGTTCAAAACAGTATTAACATTTATTTCTGTTATACACACTCAGGCATACCACACATACATACACCGCATTCTAGGTTATATTATTATCACATCTTCTCACGTCGAAACAATCGTTCAAGCTACTATTGGTTTTTACTGTTGTCTGAATGCTTGGTTCGCGGCAAACAGCACTAAAGCTGTTACTTCATAGGCATATTCCCATGTACGTGCACACGGGGTTGGCCAAATTCTAACAGGGAATGTCAATCCAGCTACGTTACCCATGATCTGCGATAGGAATGCCGGTTGAAACTTAACGGTCGCCGGTACAACGATATGTGAGTCCGAATGACACGAAATAACTCTGAGCTTCACGGACGTATTTAGTTTTTACAGTAAAGTCACTCCGGCCGTTTCCAAGTAGCGTTGAACATACTGACCAGCCGCGGGTGTCAGGCCAGTCTGGATCATCATAGGTAGGCGTCCCTGGCCGGCACTTAGCGACAGAGCACTCAATCCTTCCACTAACAACAGTCGCGGTTCCTGAATATGCGCTAGAGGATCAATGGGTGGTTTGTTGGCAAATTGCAACTGTGAATACGCAGCCTGGTATCCGCTGGAATCATCGACCTCAACAAAATGTTCATTTTCCGGAATAGTTGTGTCCTCTGGTGCTTCTAACAGCTTGACAAGGGCTTCTAGCAGCTGCGGCCAGAATGCTCCGTACGTCGAAACCATTGCAGGCAGCTCACAAAGAATCTTGACAATGCCGACGGCACAGATCTTTCGCTCGATTTGACCGCTGACCCGTTGCACTTCGGCAATGTAGAGCTTTTCCAGTACCATACCGAACAATTGTGGTTGGAGTTCGTCGACTGTAGTCTGCAACGCCACAGGTCCGTATTTGACGGCAAACAAATTAAAGAATACCAGCAGCCCCTTAACTAATTTAGTTGTCTTCGAACTGGTCAGACGCTGGAACAACAGGATAAAAACCTGCTTGATGAACGGCTGCAAATGAGACGGCTCCATATGTTCGACTAGACTTTGCACAATGTGAAACCCATGATGATCGTTGTTTTTCGAAGCAATCAATTTTTGGAATACTCCGAGAACGGCGTTCAACTTTTCCATTGCGATAATCTGAGCCGAGCTTCGTTCGATGAACGCCTGAATTAGACGAACCAACGGCTGAATATTGCCTTGGCGTTCCCAGAGAATCGGCGTCAGTAGGCACGGGAACATTCCCATGTACGATTCAGGTGCAGCACCCTATTTATTCAACAAGCAACGACACATTCGATTAATACTGTTAATACTTTAATGTTCGACAATAAGTTAGCCCTAATTTCGACCATGATATAACAATTTTACGTTATACAAACATTTACAGACAAGCCTGAGCATTAAATTATAATATATGTACATATTTATCTAGCTGCATTATCATTAAGTGGACAAACGAACACAATCTTACATACTTTGCCTCGTTTACTCTTACCTGATGGTACTCGAGCATCATGCTGAGTAGTTGGAAAACATAGGGAACGAATTCTTGCACATCCTGTGTTAACAACTCCTGGAAGACGGGGAAGAACACTGTCTCGAAATCGCTGACTTTTGTCCTGTCATTCTGGCAAACAATTTTCACAGATAGACATAGTGTTTCGAACAGATAATGGTTGAAGTGGGGCTTTGACGGATTTTTGCTAACCAACATTAGTTTCTTTGTTAGAGCGTGCAACAGGGCATTGAGATAAGGAATGACATCAGCTCTGGACAAGCTGAACGTCCTCATAACTGACTTCATTACGTACTCATTTTCAGCTGAGCAGGGCAACTCCATAACTGCAAACAAATTGTTCAAAAGCATCTCAAGTTCCGGTTTGACGTCTTGTGTGGATATTAATGTCACATCGCTTCCCGACACTGCTTGAGTTACCCTCAAAGTAAACATCTTCTCGATAGCAGCCGCGGCGTATGTATGAACAATAAAATTCGGGTTCCTGAGGTGTTTTACGAGGAACGGCAAAGCTTGTATGTGCATTTCTTTCGGAAGCTGGTTTCGGAAGACCATGTGGAATTTGATGCAATCGGCCTTGATTACAGGTAGATATGTTGGGTCCTCATTCTTCAGCTCTGGCAGGATATAATCGGCAAAAAATTGTTGAATATTCACCAAGTCAGATGTCTGTGTAGTACCGTGTTTAGCAGTCGATGCCTTGACGGCCATTGAAGTGACCAAATATATTGCTGTGTCCTTTTGTTTCCAATAGTTCCGGTTGTCACTGGTGTACTGCTGAAGCAACTCGGCAATTGACGAAGAAAAACTCTGGGTAATTTTGTCTTCGAAATGACGTGATAGTGAACGCACTAAATCGCAGGCTGCCCGCCTTCTGGTGTCCACGTCCGAGCCTTCAATATCTCTTCGGACGTATTCTTCCGGATTGTCCTCGAAGAGTTCTTCATCCGCTGGCCGGAACCTCATGTTTGGCATAATAACGTTCTGGCAAAGAGACTGGAATATTGCCGGGCCCTCAAACAAATTCTTGTACTGAGGTTTTCTCGCCACTGTTGATAAAAAGCGTAACGCATTGCTAACTAGCGTGTCATACTTAAGATGCAAATCTGTAGTGGCTAGAAGCTCCCAAATGGCGTTAACAAAATTTGGTAGTAAACTGCAAAACTCTTCATCGTACTTCTCTGCGTAGAGTGAAATATTATCACAGATCTGACTTTTAAGTTTCTCTAGAACGCCAGGCTCGTCATCGGAGTTACTTGCTAGTGCTTTATTGTTGGCGGACAACAGGGCATGGAAACGCTCAAACCAAGTTTTCATATTGTCTTCGAAAAACTCCGGAATATCCTGGTAGTTTAGACTGTAAAAGATTTCTGCAATCACTACGAGTGAATTGAAGATAACGTGAAGCACGGTTGGATTGTCGCCGTGCGACGAAACGAGATTCACCGTTACCACAAACAGATCCGTCAGGGGTTTGGCAAAGCTGTCTAGCACATACTTGATCTCGCTCCATAGCCTCTGAGACTTGAACTCGTAACGGTATCGCTGAAAAAGCGAATTCGCAGTCTGTAGAACACCGTTAATTACATGGAAATCGCCGGTGGCAAAATACGCAATCATTTCATCTAGCAGTTTTGGCCAGTTCTGAGGAAAGTCACTTTTACCAATAATGCTCACAGCATCCGATAGCTGGCGTTGGATATTCGGTGGCGATTTCAACATGAGGTTGACAATTAGTTGTTTTACGCGCTCACGATCTTCTTCGTGTATAGCACTCTGTTTGTTGACTTCGTCAGGCACCGCCCAGTTTCGTTTAACATAGTTTTTAAACGTGATCGCTCCAGCTAGTCGAGCCACATCCTCGAACTCCAACTTGTCGACGACACTTAGCAGGAGAATCGGGTAATTTTTGTTGGTTTCTACCGATTCGAGGAACTTTTCGGCGTTTTTCCGCTGCTCCAACACAGGATCGAGCGTTTGCTTCAGGTAAGTGGCCATCGTGGCCATGTTCGCTTCCGTTAACTCCATCGTGTCTAATCACACGTCCGTGACCCGCCTAACATACGAACTGTCCCGCTCCACTATAGGTTACGACCTAACGCGAAACAGTACTTCTCTAGAAAATATCACCCAACTATCCGGTAGATCTCAAAATTCACCATGCGGCGTACAGCGCAGCCGGTTCGATCACTGGCTAACGAAATTTTACGCAGACGACGCCTATCATAGGACAAACATTAAAAGTGTAAGGGTAAAGCGCGCTGAAATTTAAATTCCTGGTTGGCGGGAAAACCTGCACTTGATTAAAATAAAATGGGTAACGTATTTTCTGCTCTTTTTTTACTGCTAATTTAATGCTGAGAGGCAGCGGTATGATACAATAGCATCAAAGATAAGGATCAACTTCTAAAGATGATTTCAGAAAACGTTACGTTCGTTGAAAAGATGAAAGTTGATCATTAAGTCAAGTTTTTCAATTGAAGTCGAGCATTACTAGTTATGCTTATCAGCAACAGAAAAGTATTATATCCAGATAGAATTACGATACGTTTGCTTGTAGGATCAAATATATTCTACATCGCTTTTGAAATCTTAAACTATAGAATACTAAAAACTGTAGTTCATAGCTTTTCATCAACATTGCCGACAAAGACTATTGCAGCGTACACCTAGATCTCTTTCCTTCAATGCACTTTGGGTGCACTGTGTCGCATGTCATGCAGTGAAAGTATATTATGCCATTACATTACCCTGTTATTACGAAAGATGCGGCTGCACTTTGAACATACTTTTTAACATTCAAAAACTTCGTTAAGCATATTTCCAAACATTGTGATTTATAAAAACACATTTTTCGTGTTAACATCGTTAACAATAACGCTAAGGTGATTTCTGCTACATTCGGAAAGAAGTCAAAAATATTCTACTATAATTACCAAAATGATGATAATTATAGCTTTTCACCATCACTAATACTAGTTATTCATTATCCTCTGTAAGAACCAGAAAAACACAAGTGGGCAAATTATAAAAAAATATAGAAATAGATCCAAAGGTTGTTTTTGAACACAAGATGTTGAACGTGCCTCTACTTGAATTTACAACAGAAAAATACCTTTTCCTTCTATCTTATACACGCATACAATTGAGAGTACCGACTTCTCTAGAGATTTAGAACAACATCTAAATTAAACATTTATTCATCATTTGTTCATTGTTGTAATCAAATCGTTTAGATAGCTTCAAATGAATAGTGATTCGAAAAATCTGCGCGGTTTATTTATTGTATTTTAAGATTTATATATATAAGAACCGTACATATTGTATCGCACGCTTTTTAGCCTTAAAATTTCCTATAGCGTCGAATATTTCGGTATGGATGACGGTAACCCATGTCTCCTTGGTTATAAACTTGGTGGCAAAATTATTCTTTTCTTTTTACTAGCCTAGTTCTTAGCTGCTATATCCTAATCTTAGAATTATGAAAAGATATCTCTCTAATATCCGTAGAAGTAAGTCTCCGCAGGTTTTAGCACACTGCACTCGTCGAGGTTCTTTGCCGCTGCTGCTGTTGCTAGGGCTTCTGCGCTGTTGTCATAAGAAGTAAGAAGCCCCATACGTGGCTGAAATTTGTACAAGAATCGTTTGCTTGCTACCCTTAATATAAACAACTCAGTCACTAAGTATGAGCCTTCTTAAAAAATAGCATGATGAAAAAATTTCTCCATCGGCATGCTATTGATACTATTACTCTTTCTACTGGTAGAAAATGAAGTTGGAATTTTTGAGTGATAGTAGAAGATCTAGAATCATCAAACAACTCAGCTTTTACAATAGGCCTACCCATGATGCTTATGACGCGCCGATCTGTTTACTTCGGTGTACTGTTATTTTGTTGTATTTTAATAATTTTGTCTGAAAATTGGATTTTCTTTGTACGCGCGTATGTAATTACAGCCGATAGTCGGCCGCGATTTTTTATAATAGACGCAGTACTAAAAACTAAAGACAGTAGCTATAGTAATAATAATAATAGTGTGCAGTGATACTGTATTAATTTACTGCACAATTATTTGTGTGCCTGGTTTCCGCTTTGCTAGGACAAGTCTTTAACGATTTTAGGAAAAAGAACTATAAACGTGAATGTTCGTTTATTTCTTGTTCCTGCAGTCATAATCTTATTCCGTTGTTCATGGACAGAAGTATTTTCTACTACCAAAATAACAACATTCTCACCAACCCTGATTAACATTCAATCAGAATGCCGTGCGGCTTATAGGCTGAATTGGATAATTCTGTTCACACTTGTGTTTCAGAGAGCATCGTTTTATTCAATTTAGAATTCCAAAAGCCTTCAAAAAACACTAATTGTTCATACGTTGCGCGCCGGTCATTGTACGTTTGTATCAAATGATTTCTTACACAAGCGGTAGATTAGACCGAAGGCCATAGTTACGCTGCGGATTAGCTTGGATGGAGGACTAGTGGTATGAAAACGTCTCTTCAATAGTGTAAATGTTCTTACAGAAGCGTTTTAGAATCTAACCGATTACAGAATCCTCATCGGGAATTTCAATAGATTTACCTCATGTAAATGTATTTAGCTAACAAACTGGCTATATGCCCAATTTCAATAGTGAAACCTTGCAAGAAACCTGGTTATACGTGTTGCGTGTATAAAGTAACTTCGAGGAAATCTATTGAACTATAAAACGACGGAAATATATACTAGGACATGTTGCTTGAACCGTTATGGGCATACTTACGATATAATACCAAAATAAAGTTCAATTCAAACCCCCTAACCCGCTGCAGTGATACTTGATTCGTGATGCTGACTGAGGTTCTAATTTAAAATTTGTTACAACAACATTTGTTCTCGTTCTTGATAAACATTCCAATTTGATTTTTCAGTGCGTTCAGTTTATTTACTATTGTACACGGAAGGTTTGCGCTCAGCCTCGAATGAGGCAAAGTCACGATAATTAGAACCGATGCTATTACCGTCGCTAGATGAGAATCGACGGACAGTTAATATCAAACCATTTCTATTTTCGTCTATATACCTCTGCTAATTCAAACTTTTGATCCACTCACCAACCAAATGGCGTCATTCACAGGCTCACTACCGGCCGGTTGTCATCATTTATCGATCCCAAAAGGGGTCGAACATATTAAGGACAGCAAACATATGCCGGCTTATGCGGATTTTGGCAGAAGGCATCACTCGTATGGCTTCCATCATCAACTTCGATATCCATCTACATACATTTGGCCTATATAAGTCCTAGTCTTGGCATATAGCCTATATGCATAAATGTATCTGTTGCTGCGTGTCGCAGGTTCGATACGTAATACACTCTACCTCTACAAAGATGATTAAGGCACATCTGTACATAACAATCGTTGTGGATAGCATGATGCCAATTTACGGAGTAATAGGAAATAATGGCGGAGACGTTTCGGGATATTTCAGCATAAACCGTCGTATACCTTTAATTCTATCGGTACACCTCGAAAGAAGTTCAAATCACACAAAGTAGAATTCAAAAACCATGGCCTAATCATTAATATTTAAAATTTTCCGTTTAGTACTAGCTCAGAACGATTGACTCTGTCCGAAGTCGCGCAAAGGAAACTAAATGCGTCTGCACCGGGTTTCGTACCCAGGTCTCGAAAGCAAAAACGTTGTTGCTGCACTATTACAGCAATGGCCTATGACGAAATACAGGCGATGCAAGTACAATTATTAGACATTCGCATGAGTCGAGTAAGTTTTCCTCCGTAAGATCTATGCATATACCGACAATGACAAATAGTAATGAAGGCGGTTGGTATTACAATGGCGGCCTATATGCCTGAAAGATAAACATTGGAGCGCTCTTTTCCCCGTGATATTTCGCTTCGTATATGTGATATGATAGAAAAATATCCGAACGTTGTATTACAGCGTTTACATTGTCGTCGTTACTGTTCCCCTAGCCGTTTTATAGTTGATAACAAATACCCGTGAAGATATTTGTCTAGCAGATGTAAGTGTCCGTGTGCATAGATATACATATTGGCAAAAACTCACAAAGGCATGTATATACTGACGCCATGCATAAGCGCACATGTGCAGGCCGGACGTACATAGTACGTATATAACCGGTGAAGTAGATTTTTCGTTTCGCTTGAACAGGGAGATTGGCTGGCCGCTGAAGATAAAACCAACAATAGGGCCATACCGTCAGGCCATTATAACCCTAAGCGCTGATACTGTCTGCGTCTGTGTCCAATACAATTAGCGTAGGTAGATTTCCCGGATTTTCAGACGTCGCGGACGATGTCGGCGTGCGCGAAGTTCCAAAACCGCAAATGCGAGTCACCAACAGCCCATGTGAAGCCAACTACTTCTTTCTGATCGACAGGAACCACCGCCGCCGAACTGAGTGACATCAGTTTTTATGGACGTGCATTGAAAGCGATAGTGTTATAGAGCAGAGCGGGTAGACAATAGCTTGCTGTCATAGATCTGGTCGTAACCAGAGGGTAATCAGGGACCCGCCCACTTTCGCGTAACGTGCTTGCTCGAGGAGTAAAAAGTAGCATGATCCGGTAAAGTGACAGTACTGACGTTCACTGTGATGATTGGCCACAATATGCGGTTATAAAGACAAGCACTGACTTTTCAATGATTGATTTCCAGGGCTACGGGTGTCTCAAAGAGGCTGGCTACATCTGAGGTCTGAGATAGTTCTATTGTGCACTTACGTGTCACACCATATTACTATTACGCTCCAAAATTATTTATTCTTTTTTTAGAGCTTTTTCAGGTACTTTTTAACAAAGCTTATTGAAAATTCGAACAGATATTTGCCACGACCAGTTTTTAAACGAAATCAAAGCGTTCATCGGTGGGCTATGGTCCCCTTTCTAACAACTTCTGTTGTTAGAAAGGGGATCATAGTGTGTTCCGTATAGAAGCACATGGATTTAAATTGATAAACTAGCAAGTTGGTTATTTTACAATACACATCGGTGTCTACGTGATGATACAACTTGTTCAATATTCGTGATGGAATGTGTACTTATAGCTAACGGCGAACGTTGAACAGCGAATTCTGCTTTGTATCCGTCGACTTGAGCCGTTTACGTCGCATGTCTTCTCGGGCGTCGCACGTAAGCCTCTCCCGTTTAGCG